TAACTACAGCGGGCTGCAGATTGAAAAGGAAAGGTGATTTATAACATTCAATGGCAACAATGTAACAATTGTACACGCTACGTTGTATTAATCTTTTTTTTTTTTTTTTTGGCTGTTTTTTCCCCACGAGAGTGGAGTTACCCTTTCAGTCTGCAGGAGCAGGCAGCCCATGCAGAGCTAGTACTGGGCTTTCTAATGAGAAAACTGACCGCGTGTAACACGGACGCTCCCTGTATGACATGTTTGTTTGTAAACAAAGCAACAAAATAAATAATATCTCTTTAAAAAAAAATAAATAAATAAAAAAAAACACTGTACCTTCCCCTTAAAGCTGGCCATACACGTGTAGATTTTCAGCCGAAAATATTCGTACGAAAATTCTTTGAACATTCGGTGAACGAACGAACGTCTTTTGCTTTTAAAAACAGAGTTTAAAATGAATGTCATTTCTGAACGATCACCACATGCACCGGTCAAAAATTCGCTTGATAGAGAAAAGTTTTCCTTCCTGCCCCTTCAAATTTTGCCGTCACTGCGGTGGAAAAACAAACATCGATTTGACTCGCCCACTAATGATTAGAAAATGAAACGAATATTCTCGAGAGGAAGATGTATACGTGTATGGCCGGCTCAAGTCTGTGTGTACACTGAAGACTCGTACACCGCCATCTTGGATGGTCTACTTTCTTCTGATATCGTTCGCGTGCAATCGTAATGGCCAGATAAGTTCGATGTCCGACACGGACGCGTGTTCATCTAAGGGGCATACATACAGGTAGGCAGAGCACGCGGTCTCTCCTGATTCACCAATCAGAATACATACATCATCTCCTTCACCGAGCACACAGACAGAATCCAGCCGTTCCAACAGACAGATAAGTTCGATGTCCGGCACGGACGCGTGTTCATCTAAGGTGCATACATACAGAGATGCAGAGCACGCGGTCTCTCCTGATTCACCAATCAGAATACATACATCATCTCCTTCACCGAGCACACAGAGAGAACCCAGAAATTCCAACCCCCCCCCCCCAGTTTATATAACATCGATCGTACACAATCGCGTTGCCTTAATGCATGGGTGCCAAGAACAAGCAGGATGAGAATGCGGTACACAATGGAGTGGGGGGGGGGGGGGTGATGCTTGAAATGTGGACTCATGACGTGGCGGTAAGAAATGGATCAACCAGATGAAGAACAATTAAAGATGGAGGCAGATCTATATATTGTGCATGTACCACCCCCCCCCCCCCCCAACTCGGTGTGACATCGAACACTCCTGCGTGTCCTCGATCACTTGTGTTGACAACACGGATATTGCTGCTTCAGCTCCAGCAAACGTCGGCCTTACATATCCACAACGGGTGACAACGCATGCACAGGGTCTGTAGTTGAAGTCCGCTATTAATGTGAATGGATCGATGCGCTCAGTCTGGCTTCAATGGACCGAGCGCAGGCATTCGACTCAGGAGAACGGAGGCCACTTATATGCAGCACAATGATTGGAGGCACAGCGGATGTTAGATGGCCCAGTGGCCACACATGGGAGCCCATGCCTGGTCATATTCGGGCTGATTTCAATGTATGGAGACCCATTCCGAGCTCACAGACCACTGGGCTCCAACTGTCACGCCGGCCTTCGCCTGACTTTGTGCTCAACGGTATCCGAATCTTCCTCAGCTGCCTTTTTTTTTTTTTTTTTTAGAGACTCCCTGTTGCCTGGAGTTCCTCTTTCCACCATGTAAATCCCTAAACTGGTGTCACCTTCCGTGGATGGTGGCTAGTCATATATGATGACTGCAGGCAGGCTGCACCTCTAGGGGCCCTTTCACACAGGCCCGCCCTGTCAGTTTTCCATGCATTCCTATGGATCGGTGGGTGTAAACAGACTTGTGTCCCCCCACCCACCTGCCTTCCGATCTGATCAGACCAACTCAAAAAATGGAGGACCGCATCCTCTTCCCTTTGGGTGGACTGGATTGGAGGCAGCTGGGTGTGAGTCCGTTTACTCCCGGCCGTCCATAGAGCAGAGCGGGCTCTGTCCGTGTCCATTCTGCAGAAACTGAGCGGACACAGACCCGTCATCCACACGTTCTACAGCCATCCATAGAGCAGGCTCTGTCCGTGTCCATTCTGCAGAAACTGAGCGGACACAGACCCGTCATCCACGCGTTCTACAGCCATCCATAGAGCAGGCTCTGTCCGTGTCCATTCTGCAGAAACTGAGCAGCACGGACCTGTAATCCACCCACTCTACTGACATCCATAGAGCAGAGCAGGCTCTGTCCGTGTCCATTCTGCAGAAACTGAACAGACACGGACCCGTCACCACCAGTTCTACTCCGATCAGCGGGGATCAGTAGACAGATCTCATTCCAGGAGGAGCAGATTGGAGGCAGCCAAGTGTGAGTCCATTTACTCCAGGCCACCCATAGAGCGGAGCAGGCTCTGTCAGTGTCCATTCTGCAGAAACTGAGCAGACACGGACCTGTAATCCACCCACTCTACTGACATCCATAGAGCAGAGCAGGCTCTGTCCGTGTCCATTCTGCAGAAACTGAACAGACACGGACCCGTCATCCACCAGTTCTACTCCGATCAGCAGGGGATCAGTAGATAGATCTCATTCAGGAGGACCAGATTGGAGGCAGCCAAGTGTGAGTCCATTTACTCCAGGCCACCCATAGAGCGGAGCGGGCTCTGTCTGTGTCTGTTCTGCAAAAACTGAGCGGACACATACCTGTCCTCCACCCGTTCTACTCCGATCAGCAGGGGATCAGTGGAGGGACCAGATCGGAGGCAGCTGGGTGTGAGTCCATTTTCTCCCCGGCCGTCCATAGAGCAGAGTGGGCTCTGTCTGTGTCTGTTCTGTAGAATCTGAGCGGTCGCAGATCCGTCATCCACCTGTTCTACTCTGATCAGCAGGGGGGATCAGGCAGACCAGATCGGAGACAGTTGGGTGTGAGTCCATTTGCTCCCAGCCCTCCATGTCTGTTCTGCAGAATCTGAGTGGAAACAGACCCATCATCCACCCGCTCTACTGCCATCCATAGAGCAGAGCGGGCTCTGTCCATGTTCATTCTGCAGAAACTAAGCGGACACGGACCCGTCATCCACCCGTTCTACTGGATCGGAGACAGTTGGGTGTTAGTCCATTTATTCCCGACCCTCCATAGAGCAAAGCAGGCTTTGTGCGTGTCCGTTCTGCAGAATCTGAGCAGACACGGACCCGTCATCCACACGTTCTACTGGATCGGAGGCAGCTGGGTGTGAGTCCGTTTACACCCAGCCCTCCACAGAACAGAGCAGGCTCTGTCCATGTTCCTTCTGCAGAAACTGAGCGGACACAGACCGCCATCCACCCATTCTACTTGATTGGAGGAAGCTGGGTGTGAGTCCGTTTACAACCAGCCATCCATAGAGCAGAGCGGGCTCTGTCCATGTCTGTTCTGCAGAGACTGAGTGGACGGACCCGTCACCATCACTCTACTCATCCACCCTGCTGGTCGCAGAGACGAGAACAGGCGCCCATGTGGTCGGAAGGAAGGCCCTAGAAGGGGCCCTAGAGCTGGCCATTGCAGCAAAGCTAATCTCCTCTGATTGACAGGCAGCTACCACAATGCTTTCCTGTCCACGTCTCGTCTAATGAATCCTCCATCAGTAATGTAATGTCTAAAGCACAAAATATTGGATTCTGCCTTTTAATTTTCCAAAATGTCAGCCAGTTTTTGGAAAGAGCATTACATGAACCCATTAAATATGCAAAAAAAGTGCAGTTTGTTTTAATTTCCTTGCATGTGATTGGGTATTTTTTGCAAAGTGAAACGTCACCAAATCCTAGGGATAATTCCCTTGCAAAGTGCAACTTCCCCTACATCTGGGTATCAATGCAGCTGGTTTGATTTGAACCCTTTGCTAAGACTGAGTGCGTTGTATAGACGGCAGAAGACCGAGACAGTCGGGATCTCCAATGCATTCAGTGGCTGATGTGCCGTCGGTGGTGCCGCGTGGAGCCTCTGTGGCCACATGCGGCGGCACCAGGAGAGGATCAGCGGCTGTTTGTTTCCTGGAGCTGAGCAGGCTGGTGGGACTGATGGCGGGTGATACAGACGGGACCCCCCCCCCCCCCCATGCAACGTATCAGAGGCACCCTGCACCTCTGTGGCACCCCTCACACGCCCATGCACACCCACGGAACCCTCAGCAAAGGGAAGGACAGACAAGATGAGGGTGAGAAGGGGAGGACACTGGAAGACATCACTCCTCACCAGGGGCGGACTGACAACTCATGGGGCCCCCGGGCAATAGGGGATCATTGGGCCCCTGTGTCCTTGCCCAAACTCAAAAAAGCCTATGAAAAAGGTACCAGGGGCATCTCATGGGGCCCCCTACTGACCTTGGGCAGTGCCCGAGTTTCCAAATGGTCAGTCCGCCCCTGCTCCTCACGTACACTTGGGGTCGCCCTATGCGATCACGAGTCAATCAGGCGGGTGATGGGGTGTAGTTTGCAGGACACCCATCTCCGCAGGGGGCAGAAGTACTGATAATGGAACTGCTGGAACTCGGGGGTCAGCCGGATGTCCCTCAGAAAGGCTAACTCCAGGTCAGACTCGGCCAAGACCACCAGCAGCAGCAGCAAGGCCAGCAGGAGACACAAGGTGACGGCCAGCAGCCGGAGGACGCTCTGGAGAAATGTGTTTTCCTGCTCTGGCTCCGGCTCCCTCTGGACTGATCCCTCTGGCCCCGGCAGCGCTGGGGGAGGAGTCTCCAGATCGGGAATGGCGGGAGCGGCCGGGTCGCTCTCCTCCTCCTTGGTGGCACACGTGGTCCCGTTCACTTGCTGACCGATGGACAGCTCCAGGTTGGACTCGCAGACGGGGGTGGGGAGGATGCTGCAGCATGGAGTGTACGCCTCGTCGCTGAACACCGTCTCACGAGAGCCTCGGGGGGTCAGAATGTCGAGGTGGTCCGAGGAACGCACCGGGGTGGAGTGGGCGCTGTCACGGAGAGACTCCAGACCTGGGGGGGGCAGGAGAGGAGGGGTTAGGACAGCAAACACGGGATGGTGAGACACGGACAACACACACACACGGCGAGACACGTGACCAAACACACACAGACGGCGAGACACGTGACCAACACAGACGGTGAGACACGTGACCAACACAGACAGACAGCGAGACACGGGACCAACACAGACAGACGGCGAGACACGGGACCAACACAGACAGACGGGGAGACACGGGACCAACACAGACAGACGGAGAGACACGGGACCAACACAGACGGTGAGACACGTGACCAACACAGACAGACAGCGAGACACGGGACCAACACACACAGACGGGGAGACACGGGACCAACACACACAGACGGGGAGACACGGGACCAACACACACAGACGGGGAGACACGGGACCAACACACACAGACGGGGAGACACGGGACCAACACACACAGACGGGAGACACGGGACCAACACACACAGACGGGGAGACACGGGACCAACACAGACAGACGGTGAGACACGGGACCAACACACACAGACGGTGAGACACGGGACCAACACACACAGACGGGGAGACACGGGACCATCACAGACGGTGAGACACGCAATGATCGTTCACTTATCGAATATCTGACAAAATGTTCCTTATATGGATACAAATATCCCAATCACAGTACTAAGGAATTTCAACTAATCCAAAATAAATTATATCGAAACAAATGATCTGAATGTGAACTTAAAAATGGAAGCAGATTGCAATAAATACAGAATGGAATATAAGTAAAATAGAATGATAATTCCTACTTAGGCTGCTTTATAGAATAGAATAAAACAGAAAAGAAAGGAATAGAATACAATACAAAAAGAATAGAATAGAAAATTAAAGAATATACAGGGATAGAATAAAAAAAATGAATAGAAAAAAATTGAATAAAACAATCAAATAGAATAGAAAATAAAGGAATAGAATAGATTAGAAATGAATAGAATAAAATAAGAAAGGAATAAAATAGAAAATTAGGGAATAGAATAGAAAATAAAGGGATAGAATAAAACAGAAATGAAAGGACAAGAATACAATACAAAAAAAAAGCACAGAATAGAAAATTAAAGAATTGAATAACACAGAATAGAAAATAAAGGAAAATAATAAAACAGAAAAGAATACAATAAAAAAAATGACTGGAAAATTATTGAATAAAACAGAATCAAATAGAATAGAAAATAAAGAAATAGGATAGATAAAATAGAATAGAAAGGAATAAAATAGAAAATTAAGGAATAGAATAAAACAAAGGAAAAGAATACAGTAAAACAGAAGAGAATACAAAAAAATACAAAAATTAAAGAATAGAATAAAAAAGAATAGAAAATAAAGGAAAAGAATAGAATACAATACAAAAAGAATAGAAAATAATTGAAAAAAACAGAATCAAATAGAATAGAAAAAAAAAAGCAATAGAATATATTAGAATTGAATAGAATAAAACAGAATAGATTAAAAAAAGAAAGAATACAATAGAAAAGAATAGAATAGGAAAGAAAAAAGAATAGATTAGAAAATAAAGGAATAGAATACAACAGAAAAACAAAGGAACAGAAAAAATAAGAAAGAATAGAATGGAGAATAATGAAACAGAATAGAAAAGAATAGAATACAATAAAAAAAATAGAAAATAATTGAAGAAAACATAATCAAATAGAATAGAAAATTAAGGAATATGATAGATTAGAATTGAATAGACTCAAATAGAATATAAAGGAATAAAATAGAAAATTAAGGAATAGAATAGAAAATAAAGAAACAGAATAAAACAATAGAAAATAATATAACACAATAAAAAAGAATGCAATAGAAAATAAAAAGAATAGAATAGAAAATGATAGAATAAAACAGAAATAGAAAAAGAATAGAATGCAATAAAAAAATGAATATAATAGAAAATAATAGAATAAAAAAAAGAATCAAATAGAATAGAAAATAAACGAATAGGATAGATTAGAAATTGAATAGAATAAAACAATAGAAAAGAAAGGAATAAAAGAGAAAAATAAGGAATAGAAAATGATAGAATAAAAAACAGAATAGAAAAGAAAGGAATACAATAGAAAATACAAGAATAGAATAAAACAGAATTGAATAAAATTGAAAATAAAGGAATAGAATAGATTGGAATTGAACACAATAGAATAACATAAAACGAAAAAAGAATAGAAATTAAAGGAATAGAATAAAACAGAATAGAAAAAAAAAAGAATACAATAAAAAATAGAAAATAATAGAATAAAACAGAATCAAATAGAATAGAAAATAAAGGAATATGATAGATCAGAACTGAATAGAATAAATCAGAATAGAATAGGAAGAAATAAAATAGAAAATTAAGGAATAGAAGAGAAAAAAAAAGGAAAAGAATAAAACAGAACAGAAAAGAACACAAAAAAGAATAGAAAATACATGAATAGAATAAAACAGAATCAAAGTGAATAAAATAGAAAATAAAGAAATAGAATAGATTAGAATACAATACAATAAAACAGAATAGAGGAGAAAATAGACTAAAATAGAACAGAAAAAGTAGAATAGAACAGTAAAGATTAGAAAAAAATGAATAGATTAGAATAGAATAAAATAGAACGGCTTCCAAAATGTGAACTTCAAATCAATTTGAAAATAACGAATATATGAATTCCAGAAAATGAAGCATTCTAACATGACAAATCTGACGCTACAAAATTAAGAACGAATCAGAAATTCATCAATTTTTCCATTTCTACATCTACATTGGACAAGATAGCGGTGTGCAAGTACAGCAACCAACCAGATTTTGGTTACTCCGGGTAGATCAGTGAGAGAAGACTTCTGATTGGCTAGAATACTGAATGTTAGTACACACCGGGGGGATGGGGGGGGGGCTACTGAAGGCGAATAGGCTGTTCACTTTGCACGGGAATTTGCACTTTAAAAATTCGCCCCAAAACTCAGCGACTGAAATGAAGCTCCGCTGACTTCCATCATCTAATGCAGGCCATAGACGGGTCGAAAACCGGCTGTTTTTTTATAAAAAACAAAAATCGGTCGTTCAATAGGCCGACGTTACCACCAACGGTAAAAAAAAAAATCGGCTGATTTTCGTCCCGTCTGCGGCCGGCATTTAATGACTTCTGTCCCTGCAGAGAGCTCCGCTATTATATTTTACATGAAAGTCTTGCGGTTGCAACAATGTATCCATTTGTATCCATTTCGGATACAGATGTTTTTATTTGGATACAAATGGATACATTGTTACAACCGCAAGACTTTCATGTAAAATATAATAGCGGACTGGAATTTTTCTTCTTTTTCTTCTTCTTGCAGGTCACGGCTCATGCACAGATTTTTTTATCGGCAAAATCGGCCGATTTTTTTCCAACTTTACCGATAAAAAAATATGTGCAAAAACCCCGAAAACCGGCCGACCAATTAACCCACTAATGGTGCGAAAATCGTCCGATTTATGACCCGTCTATGGCCTGCATTAGTCAGGTTCACACCTACGCAGGTTGCGTTTGAGCCGTTTTCTGCATTGTGTTTTTTGATGCGTTTTGGGTTTTTTTTTTTTTTTTTTTTCTTGTTTCTAGGCAGATTTTAAACGCAAAATGCATCAAAAACGCACTCCATGCTTTTCTGCAGTGTTTCCATTGAAGTCTATAGAACCGAAAACGCAATTTTTTGCGACCCTTTCCAAAAAATGCAGCAAGTGAAAACGCAGAGATGTGAACGTGTCCCATAGGAAATCATGACTGTAGTGCGTTTATGGAAAACACTCAGGTGTGTGAACCCGGGGTAAGGCTGCCCATACACGAGCAGATTTTCGGATGATAATATTCGTAAGAAAAGTCGTACGAAAAATTCTTTGAAAATTTGGTGACTGGATGAACGTCATCCGAAACTTGTCTTTTGCTTTTAACATTCGACTTTAAAATGAATGCAATTTCTGAACGATCGACACATCCACCGGCTAAAAATTTGTTTGAGAAAAGTTTTCCTTCCTGCCCCTTCGAATTTTCCCGTCGCTGCAGTCGAAAATTAAAATCGATCTGACTCCCCCCCCACTAACATCGTCCAAAAATTGTCTTTTGCTTTTAATATTCGACTTTACAATGAATGTCATTTCTGAACGATCGCCGCATACACCGGCCGAAAATTTGTTTGATCGAGAAAAGTTTTCCTTCCTGCTACTTTGAATTTTCCCGTCGCTGCGGTCGAAAATGAACATCGAACTGACCTCCTGCTAACGATTAGAAAATCAAATGAATATTCTTGAAATTAAAATTCTTGAAACTAAAATCTATACGTATATGGCCAGCTTAAATCGTATAGATTTTAGTTTCAAGAATATTCGTTTGATTTTCTAATCGTTAGCGGGAGGTCAGTTCGATGTTCATTTTCGACCGCAGCGACGGGAAAATTCGAAGTGTGCAGGAAGGAAAACTTTTCTCAAACAAATTTTAAAGTCGCATGTTAAAAGCAAAAGACAATTTTTTTTTTTTTTGGACGACGTTCGTCCATTCACTGAATTTTCAAACGAATATTCTCGTCCTAAAAATCTACCCTTGTATGGCCGGCTTTAAGCTTTTAAGATTTGCGTTCGAGAATTTTTGTTTCAAGAATATTTGTTTGATTTTCTAATTGTTAGTGGGGGAGGGGGGGTCAGATCGATGTAGATTTCCAACCGCAAATTCAAAAGGACAAGCAATCAAACTAATTTTTAGCCGGTGGATGTGGCGATCGTTCAGAAATGACATTCATTTTAAACACGAATGCTAAAAGCAAAAGACAATTTTTCGAATGACGTTCGTCCGTTCACCGAATGTTCAAAGAATTTTTCGTTTTTCTTACGAACATTCGGTGAACGGACGAACGTCGTTCGAAAATTGTCTTTTGCTTTTAGCATTCGTGTTTAAAATGAATGTCATTTCTGAACGATCGCCACATCCACCGGCTAAAAATTAGTTTGATTGCTTGTCCT